GGCACCTGCCACAATACCCGGCTAGTTTGGTTGCAGCTGTCATTGTTGTTTGGTGGGCCTGGGCTGGATTCAAACCCACCCCCTTAGGTGTATGTGGCTGACGCCTTAGCCACTTGAGCCACAGGCACCAAGCCAGGTTGAACATTTTTGTTGGAGTTGAGTTTCACTTTTAGTGCTTTGTGGTCTGAGAAGATGCAAGGTAAAATTTCAGTTCTTTTGAGGTTTGTTTTGTGTCCTAGGGTATGAACAATTTTGGAGAATGTTCCATGGGACAATGAGAAGAATGTATATTCTTTATGTTTGGGATGAAGTGTTCCATACACGTCTATCAAGCACAGTTAAATGAGGGTCTCATTTAAATGTCTTGTATCTTTGTTTAATTTCTGTTCAGAGGATCTGTCCAACTCTGAGAGAGGAGTGTCCCTGTTATCTTGGTGTTATAGGATATCATATTGTTCAGACTAAGTAAGGTCTATTTCAAGAATCTGGGAGCATTTAAATTGGGTGCATAAATATTTAGAATTGAAGGTAGCGCCTGTGGCTCAAGGAGTAGGGTGCCGGTCCCATATACTGGGGGTGGTGGGTTCAAGCCCGGCCTTGGCAAAAAAACCCAAAAAAACAACAAAACCTTTAGAATTGAAATGTCTCCTTGTTGTATTTTTCCCTTGACCAATAAGAAGTGACCATCATTGTCTTTTTTGACTTTAGTTGCTTCAAATCCACATGTGTCCGAAAATAAGATTGCAACCTCTCTTTTCTTCTGAATTCTGTTTACCTAAAGAATTGACTTCAAAACCTTAACTCTGAGTTATAGTTTGTCTTTTGATGTGTGGTGTGTTTCCTGCAGACAGTAAATAGATGGCTTGTATTTTTTAATAGTCAATCTCTGCCTGTTCAGTGGGGAATTCAAGCCATTGACATTTACTGAGATATTTGATAAGTGTGGTAGCGTTCTATTCATCTTATTTTGTGAAAATCCATTGCTTAGTTTTGTACCTGTGGGATACTGTGAAGGCAGTCCTGAGAGGAAAATGTATCACTTTAGAAGCCTACATTCGAAAAACGGAAAGAGTGCATCAACAAACTCACAAGCCATCTTATGGAATTGGAAAAAGAAGAACAACTAAGTCTAAACCCAGCAGAAGAAAAGAAGTATCTAAAATTAAATCAGAGATTAATGAAATTGAAAACAAAAGAATCATTCAGAAAATTAATGAAATAAGGAGTTGGTTTTTTGAAAAAATATATAAAATAGATAAACCTTTGGCCAGACTAACTAGAAATAAAAAAGTAAAATTTCTAGTAACCTCAATCAGAAATGATAAAGTGGAACTAACAACTGATGCCATAGAAATACAAGAGATTATCTCTGAATATTACCAGAAACTGTATGCCCCCATATTTGACAATGTGAAGGAAATGGATCAATATTTGGAATCACTCCCTTTCCCTAGACAGCCTGTATGAATGACATAGATCTCCTGAACAGACCAATTTCAAGCACTAAGATCAAAGAAGCAATAAAAAGGCTGGGTGCCTGTGGCTCAAGTGGCTAAGTCACCAGCCACATACACCTAAGGTGGCGGGTTCGAATCCAGCCCCATCTGCCAAAACAACAGTGATGGCTGCAACCAAAAAATACCCGGTACTGTGGCAGGCGCCTGTGGTCCCAGCTACTTGGGAGGCTGAGGCAGGAGACTCGCTTGAGTCCTGGAGTTGGAGGTTGCTGTGAGCTATGATACCACAGCACTCAACCTAGGGGAACAGTTTGAGGCTCTGTCTCAAAAATAAAAAAAGAAAAAAAAATCTCCCAACAAAAAAATGTGCTAGTCTGAATGGCTTCACACCAGAATTCTAATTAAACCTTCAAAGAAGAGCTTATTCCCGTACCACAGAAATTGTTCCAAAAAATTGAGGAGGAAGGAATCTTCCCCAACAAGTTTTATGAAGCAAACAGCACCTTGATACCAAAACCAGAAAAGATCCGACTAAAAAGGAGAACTTCAGACCAATTTCACTAATGAATAT